TATATATATATATATATATATATATATATATATATATATATATATATATATATATATATAAAATATTTGAGTAGCCTATGCAATGTGCATTCGTGACTGTAAATAGGCATATGTTGGATCTTTTTCCCCCATATCCCTGCTGCTATCTTTCAGCACACTTGCCCATACCACCTTAAAAGCTTTAATGGCGACTCTTGATAAATTATTTGCTTAAGACATCTTGGTGCTTTGGATCCCTTAGAGGATGAGCAGAACGTCGGCCTGTGTATCATTATAACTAAATAAACAGAAACCTATAGGTAAAAACCTAACGACTTTGTGCTTTTGTCCTGCTTTTAAACTGCACACTATTCCGGGTAAATGCGCAACGCTGCCTTTTCCTGCGCCTTTTGCATAGTTTTGGAAATTGTAATTTGTCTTCATTTCAAATACGAGAAACTAACAACATATATTGATGTTCACAGCTTGTGAATTTGGATTCACGCATTATAAGTTATATGATTGCAAACTAAAGTATCAGTGATGATTTTTAGAACTATTATCCGATTTTCTGGTGTTTTCACGTTTGATCTGACGTTTGCACGCCTGTTAAACGAACTGCAGCTTAGATCTTGCATAGAGAGAGCAGGCAAGCAGGGAATGATAACCTCTTTTAGTGGACTCTAAATGGAATCGCCACTCTTGTAGTCTAGACACTGCCATAAAGACAGAGGCACTAAATGGCTATTTTTTTCTCTTAATTGCACCGTCTGTTCTAGGGAAATGGCGTTCACTTCCGCACTAGATGGTAAACAAGCAACACTAGATGTCTGAGAAGAGAGGAGTGAGAAAAATAAAGTTTCGACATGAATGAGATCTGTGACGCATGCAAAAGAAGTGTGCTGTAGAGACCGAAAGAGTAGTGTGTTTAAGTGTGTCATATACTGATCGAATTAACGCATGTGTCTTTTGTAAGTGACGATACACACGCCATATGTGCTCAGGATGATTGCACGTGTGCATTAAGCACAATTTATAATTAAATGTAGTCTTTGAACTTCAATAATGTCAAGGCCTTCACCTTTAACCCGCCGCAATAAAGTGGAATCAAGGAGCCCGGAAATGGTCGCAGCGGCGGAACGGACCAATGGGAGGGAGTGGGAACAGAAAATGGAATGCGTCCACAGTACCAACTTTGACCTCTCGCATTAAACTACAACAGGTAACTTTGCTAGCTTTAACACGTCCTGTAAATACACTTTATTGTCCCTGTAAAAAACCCGTAGGTGTTCACGCACGAGGCAGTTCTAACGTGCAGATTTTGTATTCAGTTCTCACACAAACTGAAGGTCTGTATGTTTGTGTGGTGATGTAGTTGTTAATCAGTTCACGTATGATAATTTATTTGCACCAAAAATGTGTAATTGTGAAGATTTTTACAATTGAAAATATTATCAGTTGGATACGTTTATGGTGCTTTTAATTTGAAAGGTGAAAAAAGGGTTAGTGGAAGCAGGGTCGTTGTTTTCAAATGATTTTCCTTTTCCGGGATTTGCTATTTAAAACCTATACTGCTAAATATATCATAATTATAGTGAAATACATATCTTGAGGCATTGTATGTAAAGAAAGGGGGGTGGGGGGACCTTCAGACCATGCGCACAGGCGGAGATCAAGGCTACAGGCGCCCCCGTCCTACGCCACACCTACCAACCATGGGCCCTTGACGGTGACGTGAGTAATTTGTTCATTTCTCCAACACCCAACGTCACTAACAAAAAGCTCTGGGGGTCCTCTGTGAATGCTGTCCATGAACCACTCGGGGGGCAATCCCTTCTTCCCTGATCTCTGCCCCTGTTCTTTTCCTCAGCGGGAGCCTAAACATTTGAAACGGGAGCAGTAGTGGCTCACTTTTATCCACAGATCTACTTGGAAAATGCAAGATAAGCACAGTTAAATCCAGCCATGTTCCAGTATTTTTTTCTGCATTTCGGAGTATCTAAGAGGGAGTGTTGTTTCTTGCTTTAAAGAATAATAATTATGGGAAGACAGAAAAAATGTGGACATATAGGAATTAATGAATACAAGTTTTGTGATGTTTTGCACTTTAACTTTAACATAATATGTTTAGCAGTAGGAACGTTTGGCCCCATCTGTGAGTGGATTATAATTAAAAAATTTCCATTGGCATATAAAATATACAAATAAATCTTTTGAATTGCATTAGAGAAAAAGTATTTAAAATTTTCAAAAATAATATTAAGTGTATTGTTTTAGAATTCTGTCATTTTTTAAAGATATAATTTATGATTGGCTTCATAGATACATAGCCGAAAAATTCCAAGAAATAAATAATTATAACACAAATTATTAAATTATTAAAATTGAATTGGGAATGTTTTTTAATATTTTGAAAAAAATCACAGAAAAACAAACAAACAATGAAAGCAATCCTCAACATAAAAATAAAGTTACCAAACTTTTTAAATAATGTGTCAGGTATTTCAAATGGTACAAATATTCTTTGTTTTCAACTTTCTGTATGTAAGCTATAACCACAAACTTTTTTTTTTTTTTACACCAAATGACGCCACAAAAGAAACAACAACACAAACAAATGCAGTAAAGGTTTTTTTTTATTTATTTAATTTTAGATTTTACATGTGGACTCTTTTGTCTTGTTCGACTGCGTAATCATTTTCCAATGATTTTAGTACCTCATAAAAAGGTAAAACTAAATTGGAATCAAAGTCATTGAAGTTGCTGAAACCTTTGAAATGTAATATTGGCTTTGTTTTACAGAGTAATGCTGGTTTATTTCTTGTTTTGTTATGAGAAACTTTAATGGGTTTCTATGGAAAACATAATAAAGAAACTTCCTTAATGACATTATTTTCAAAAATGAGTTTCTTTTAGGTAAATTGCTCAAGAAAGAAAACAATATAGAAAAAGAAAAGGAAATTCCGTCTCTTAAACTTTTTAAATACTGTGTTTTCTCTGATTTTTTAAAACCTTTTTCCACTATGCATTGCATTAAATTTAGTCGTTACCTACAATAATACTCTAGATAATACTACTAGAATAAATCGCTAGCGAGTTTATCTTCTATTTTGAGGTAAATATAGGAGTGTCACCGTTTCTTATTCCTCCGCAGATACTAATCAAAGGGTTATAGGCTATTCAATGGTTTTACACTACAGTGTCTCAGCACCTAACCTGTTCTATTGGGCTATAAAACAGCTCTTCGCTGTAAAACGAGCTCCTGCTCTTTCGGCAACAGCTCTCTCTCAAATGCAATTGCGGGGGGCTGTTTATTGATGCCACCAAAACAAGTCTTATTAAAATAAATAAACGATTTTAAATTTGATATGGCTGCATGTGTGTATTGTTTGTTGGTCTGGTGTTTCCTGTAAACTCTGTAACACTGTTTTACTTTTGCTGGTGATGTTTAATTAAGCTCTTACATGATTCTGGAACCATAAATTCGCAGTTGCGCATGGGTTGGACACCAACATGAAAGGCAAAACAAAGCTCAGTCTCCCACACATCCAACTGGAAAGATATTTCAAAGTGGCTGCCAGGACCTCAGTTGAATATGTCGCCTCGGCACAGCTCCTGGTTGCTGGGTCACAGAAAAAAAAAAAAAAAAAAAAAAGCACTCGACATTCAACAGTCTTACCTGGGATTATAATTACAGCATTCAGGTTTGAAATCAAACCCGATTGGTTTAGACAAATGTTAAGACCAAAATAAACACAAGCAGATATGATTTCCTCTCTACTGTTATTGTGCGACTTTGTACTGCTTTCTTGAATTGTGTTTGTTTATTTAAGCGCTTAAAAAAAAAGAAAAATTAAAACAAAATGCGTTTTGGTGAAACAGCAGCAATGCGTTTCCATGGAAGAACTTGGCCCGCATATATAATCAGCATGTCGTAGAAATACATTTAGACATGCAAATAACATCGTCTTTATTTCTGGACATTTTTGAATGTATTTGATGTCAAACTGAAAAGCTTTGATTTCTCCAGTTGCACACTCGTAATATTTCAGATTCATGTCAATACCACCGTTTGTTGCAGGTTTTGGGCAAGGATGGGGTGTGTTCATTGAAGAAGTGTGATTCAAATAATAAAAATTCCAGGCATTTTTTTCTGGCTTGCACTATAATTAAAAAACCGTTTCCATGATGCCTTACGGCTATTCTGTCCTCTACTATCATGAATACAGATTTTCTTTCTTTTTTTTTTTTTTTTTTTTTTTTTTTTTTTTTTTGCACGCTGTGAGAAATTCCATCATGGGACCTTTGGCCGTATCACTTACATGTCTTAAAAAATCTAAACTTAAAATCTAAGCAGGCCTGTTATTTTTTATTGGTGTAAAATAAGATTTTATGTGCATTTTTGTTCTAAGCAGGTGGTGGTCTATAGGCTAATGTGTCATGCAATAAGATAGCCTCTCTCTCTGCTATTATAATTCTGTTCCATAAGGTAAATGCGTAGTGAACATATCACGTGAACGTATTTTTCGTGTTCAAACCTTCTCTTCTGAACATTTTTTTTCTAATTTCTTCAGAAACGTCTCAGAAGAAGATAATCCAGAAACGTGAGAACGCGGCGTCTTTGTTTTCTTTTTTTATCCTTCATAGACAGGCATTCACATGTCTTTATGATTGGTTCTCCAGAAGCGTTTTACTATAACAGAAAATCCAGAAGGGTGAGAACTCTGAAGCTATTGTTTATTTTTTATAAACCTTCTTTAAAGTCAGTTATTCACATTTTCTCTATAATTTTTAAGAAATGCTAAACACAAAGGTGCATTTAATTTATTTCGAATATAAATTTCTGTCCAAAGGTATTGCCTTTATATATGATTGCGCTCATATTATGCTAGGGCCGCTCACATGAACACAGTGTAGGCTACTGCCCTTGCCTTTGAAAGTGATTCTGAACTAAACTGACGCACTAACTCAAATACACAGACACTGGGGCACGCAGACAAAACAACACCAGATGAGCACCCTCACCAAGCTGCAGTAACGCACTTAGGACGAGATTAGTTAAAGCCTTCTTGCGTTGAATCTTTATATTCGTATCCATGACGCGTTTTGCGCAATGTTTTTATTCAATTGTGGTATTTGTTAGCATGTTACCAGGACTTTCAGACTCATCGAGGACGTTGTGCTCTCTTGTAAAACCCCTTAAATTGTATACACACACACACTCGCACACAATTGTATCCAACATGTAGGGAAAAAAGTACACACATAGGTATGAGTGTTTATGTATTTATATCGATGGTTTGTTTTTCTTTATTATTATATGATTGCATGTATTGTAAATCGAAAAATAAACTCTGAAATGATGTATACAATTAATGTTTATACGTTCTTTTCCTCTTAGCTGTGTAGAAAATTGTCACCGGGGCTCATCAATTACAGAGGCAAAAAAAAAGAAAAAGAAAACAAATACTAGAACAAACCCAGCTGTAATCAGGGGGAATTGGAAACTTATCTCTGATAAAAAAAATAAATAAATAAAAAATACTGATAATAATCCTTTCTACTCTGCTCTCGACCCTCATAAACAAAGCCACTTTTGTCGTCTTAACTTATAATTATTACACAATACTTTACTGAATTTACATGTGTTATCCAGATATATGTACAAAGGAAAATCGTATATTATATTAAATATTAATATTAAAACACTTGTTGTTTTTCCCTGGTTTTGTATTTAACCATGTGGTAAAATGAATATAGACGAATTTTAAACTGAAATCCAATAATTCTATAAAAGGTGCATAATGGAAAAAAAAGTTTCCCCGTGTTCATACTCGACACAGTATACTCATAATGAAAGACAACCCTTTGCAAAATTGCTACCTGCTAAAACAGTTTCTCATTACGCTGGGGTGGGCTTTCGGGAAGATGCTAAACGGAATAAAAAATAAGGCAGCTATAAGAAATAATTTAATATATTTGATTTTCCTTTACATCGACACAGTTGGTAATCAGTACAAATTTCACCTCAATTTCGAAGCATGATCAGATAACATCAATTCACTGATTACAGTAGCTATTTCTACTAATACTTCATGAGACTTATAAAATATTATGCTAAAGATTTGACCACATTCTGATCTACATCTGGAAAAACGAAGATTCACGTCACACAGTTGCAGATTATTTTTACAGTACTTGCGTTTTTCTCTTTTTAAATAAACGCTTATTTACAGTTTTGGGATTTCGATACTATTGAAAGAAAGAAAAAACAATACAGTAATACAAAAACACTCTCATATTACTCTCACCTCCATACCACATCCGTCAGTGTTTTATTAAATCAAACGATGGGTGAATATAATCCCCTTCAACCATCTCCAGCCCTTCAGAATTAAATGTTTACAAACCAAACAGTGAGTATCTTAAAGAAATCCCTGCCGCGCAGCAGCTGCAATAGTAGTCTGTCCTTTGTTCTTCCTGCAAAAGGCCTCCAGCTGTATGCAGCAAGACTGTCACTAGGTGGCGCTCACGCTCCATCAAAAACCTTCAGATTTCCCAACTTGACCGCGCTGACGTCACTCCAGTCTGGAGCATCAAGGCCACTTCCACGCCGCTATTGGTCTGAAGCTCACATGACATGTCTCCGAGCATCCATAATTGTGTTACAGATATTTTTTTGCACCCCCCTCCAAAAGATGTCAGCATCCTACTGTCCTTGTTCTCTTGCTGGAACCCCGCAGATTAGAACGGCGGGAAACACCAAGTGATCACCCTTCCAGAGTTGTTACATGCAAATATGACACTTCCGAATAACATATCGCCCGGTAACTTCCTGATGGATTCTTTAATGGGAGGATCATCTTCCTACAGGGCTGAGGGATATTCCAGCAACCCAGGAATGTACATCCACTCAGCTGCAGAGTACGGATACTCGGTGATGAGGAATATTGGGAAGGTTGGATCATCTCCACACTCCAAAAGAGACGAGGTTCCTGCAGGCGGCGTCCCGCTCGGCGGCTTCCAGGATGCGCCCTACCTGTCAGCGCAGCTGGCCACATGGACCTCAGGCTCCAAAAGCAGCAGAGACGATCAACCTGTTGCCCACCAGTGTTTACAACCCTGCTCGTTCCCAGCGGGCAGCGTCAAAGAGGAGGCGTTTTGTTGCCTCTATCAAGATGACAGCAATAAGGGGAAGCACACAACAGAGTCGGCCACATACATCCGGCTTGGAGACAATAGCTGCCGTCGCCCTGAGCAGACTGCAGCCTTGTCCAGCGGCTGCTATTTCCAGGTGTATGGCGGGGAGAGGCCGCAGCGGGACGAGCAGCAGCTGCAGCAACTGCCCCCCGGCTTGACGCTGACCCACTTGGCGTCATCTGTTGAAAAAGCAGCAGAATCGACTGTGAGCTGCAGCAAAACTGCACAGGAGACACCCAAAGAGGCTCCTAAAACAGATGAGGGTGAGAGCAGGAAGGAAGACAAGGCCAAGATTGACAGCTGCTCAGATAACTCAGACGGGGAATTTAAAGGTAGATCCCCCTCCCTGACTCACGTGAATAAACATTGATACACATAACGTAACCTGTTTGATAAAATAAAACAAATAATTAAATGCATGTGAAAAATCTCACTTGAACTATTTAAACTTTAGCGGATTGGCTTTTTGGATGCTGCGTTTGTGTTTATATGCTGCAGCCCATTCTTGCAGGGGTTATGCTGTCGCTGGTATTTACCACCCTTTTATTAATGGGAGGATGGGAGATGGGCAGTATTCATCAAAATAAACACACTCCCTCTCTCAAAAATATGGACGCCTGCACACCAATGTAGAGACCGTTTCAGACACAAGAAACAAAGCGAAAATATCCTGCAGTTTTTGTATACCTGGAGCATGAAGGATCAACAGTTTAGAACTGCAGAATTTGTTTTATAAATTATTCAAAATTTCAATTGTTTTCCAACAAAGCACAACTTTCTTAGGAACCATTTGTCGAGCTTCCCTTTATACATGGTGCACATTTGAGATATTTTTCTTTTGCGGGAAGGTTGCGACTTTTTCTTGAAAACACGTCTCACTTTTAGATTGTCGCAATTTTAGATTGTTTTATATAATTATGTATATATAAAGGTATGTTTTATTTCTCGTTTTGGTTAATATTCGTTTCACACTAGGTCAATTAAAACAGTATGACAAAGTTTTATCCTATTTTTATGATTACGTAGGCATATATTCGTCTTTGTGAAACATTGTAATTTTAATAACCGTGTCTGTTGTCATATTAATAATTTTCAATTCAATTTATTTATATAGCGCCAATTCACAAGAATTGCCATCCCAATTTTGGCTCCTATATTTACTTTTGGGTTTGAGTGAATCACAAATAGGCCTATTCTAATTTCCACATGACCTGTTGACGATTTAAAGAGATACTTGTAACATTAGTAAGTTTTTAAAGGGTGTATGTTGGTATTTCGGGTATGGTATTTAACTAAATTCTATTTTATTCCATTAAATTAATAGATTTAATCTACTTCACTCAATTTAAGCTGCAATTTTTGAGGTAAACATATTGAAAGTGTGTGCCTTTGCAATCATTCATTGTATTTGTGCGTGTGTATAAGTGTGCGTGTGTGTTATTGGGTGGGGTGGAAGGGAGGGAGGTCGAGGCGGGGGGTAAGAACAGGCGTGGTGCGTCTGTGTGAGTCGGTGTGTGTGTTTTTTGTGAGTTTTGTACTCCAGTACTAAATTAAATGTTTTGGAAATTATTAAATGTTGGCCACACGCTGAGAGTTCACATTAGACTAATCACTGCTGCCACTCGCCTGGGTGCGTTTGTGGATAACAGAGGCGTAACTCCCTTGACTCTGTGGAGTTAATCAAAAACTCATTCGTCGTGGAGTATCTAATTATTGGTTCATTCATTTGTTTTATATACAAAAATTTGATTTGCTATATTTAAAATTTTCATTTTCCTTTAAATTAACCCCCCATAACAAAATAAAAGTAAACTTATACTACAAAGAACGTTTTTTAACCTCGAGGAAAAATCCTTTGCCTCTTGAAACGGTAATAAAATTTTATGGGAGTCTGAGGTGCAACAAAGACAATAGTAGTTGCTTCTTTGGGTGGTTTGATTTGATCTAATTACAGTTGTACATCACGCAAAAAGCAATTTGTATCCAGTAGTCTAGTGGGTCGAAGGAGCGGTGCTCCTCATTTGTTAAAGTGGGAAGGAAGCGTCCAGATCAAGACAAAACTACTCTGACTCACTGCAGATTTTAATTTCATTTAAGGAGTTCTGGGTGTTATACCGGATATGAGTGCGCATTGGTTACAGCATCTCTGCCCAGCAATTACTGCCAGGATTTATTCTCTACTTTTTTTTCATTGCTATTGCCTTACTACTTTCATTGATGTGTTTTTCCCATTTTGATAGATGATTTATCAGCGGAAAAGACAACGGGAAGCTGGTTAAAAGCCAAAAGTGGAAGGAAGAAGAGGTGTCCCTACACAAAGCACCAGACACTGGAGCTGGAAAAGGAGTTCTTGTTCAACATGTATCTGTCTCGGGAGCGCCGCCTGGAGATCAGCCGCAGTATCAACCTGACCGACAGACAGGTCAAGATCTGGTTCCAAAACAGACGTATGAAGCTCAAGAAGCTAAACAGGGAGAGCCGAGAAAGGGAGCAGAGTGCAGTTTATAACTACTCCTGAAGACACTTTTAGCTCTAAACATATTCACTTGCACTCAGACACGACGAGGGACAGTTATAAGACATGCATGCGTAATTTTGTAATGCTTTTATCAGTTTTCTGTATATGTGTACACACACATATTAAGGGTGCCTTCTGATGATCAGAGAAGCTGCATCTTGCATAGAAATTGGAAGATTGCGGTGGAATTGTTTTGATGAAACTGACAATGAGGCAGCCTCTGTCAGACAGTACATTTACAGTGACACTGTCACATTGCCGAGTTGTTCGTAATGTTTTGTTACTTGTGTGTTGCTGCTTCTTCGTTTCGGTGTCTGTGGCATTTCCGTGCTGTGTAACGTGCATGCACAAGGTGACATTAAGTTCTGTCATGCTAAACGGTTCCAAAATAATAAAAACCGAGGAGAAAATGGAGAAGTACCACCAACTTTGTCCTTCCCTTAGCACACTGGGTTTTAAAATGTGAGGGAGGGAAGACACTGCAGATAGGAAGTAGGAGATCATGGCAGTTTTAATAGAATTGAGAGACCATAACGTTGATTTAAATATTATCCAGGTGACCACAGTAAGTCAAGGTCATAAAATTCTAATGTCAGGTTCGCCCTGGAAAGCGTTGGGGGTGGATTTTATGATCTGCAAATATAATGTGCCGCAGCAGTAAAAGATGCGTTTAAAGGTGTGTGTGTATGTGTGCGGAGGAGGACTAATCCACAAGGCAGGGAGCCCCGTGCAAAGTGCAGCAAGCCAGCCGAGGCGCTGCTTGGGCTGCAGGGAGTAGCAGGAACCGCTGCCCTTCACTGCAGGCGGGGTGCAGAAGAAAATACTGGAGATTTTTTCCTGCAGTTAAATAAGAAACATGGAGAATAAAGGGACAAGGCAAAGGCTGCGGCTGCAAGCGGAATAAGCACCGGGACAATAGGATCGCACCTGTGTGGATGTGAGGAGGCAAAGAAAGGTAGGATGGATGATTTTGTTTTCTGATTTGGAGGCTGTGCCAAAGCTGTCAGCGGGGCTTGCCTGACAGCTTGTGTGGCACGCTCTGTGCATGCTTGCTTATGTCACTGTAGTTTACATTAAGATGCTTGGTATAAATAATCCAATAGGCATGCTGTTAATTGCTGTTCTCCCTTTTCTTTTTTAATAATAAAAAATGCATATGGTTATTTGAGCAACATGATTGCTGATACTTGAATATGGGTATTATTTGTAAAACTTTGCTTAACTATGATAGTGAAGCACTATTCCTTTTTAGTAATTGTATCCCTCTGTTATTTATGTCAAACGAAGCATGCAAACAATTTAAGAAGAAAACAAGCAATGCATAACATGGTGTATCTGTTGAGTTTATACTTGCCTTCTTCCAATCTCTGTTGGTTTTAGCTCATCTTCTTGTTGCCTTTTGTACTGTTGTCTCATTGCAATGGATATTTGCGCGAAGCTGAAGCGTGGTTTAGGTAGTTTCATGTTGTTGGGGTTGGCTTCCTGACTCGGCAACAAGAAACTGCCTTGATTACGTCAGTTCGTCTTCATCAAGGGCACAATTTCCGCTGAATTGTCCCCCCATAGGCACCTCCAGATTCCCCCTACCCCCCGCAAATGGCATTGTAAATGAACTGGGCTGCTATACCTTGGACAGAAAAGTTTTGTTTGGTTGCTGTTAGTTTGTGACGGGGCTGTAAAAAGCTTCTGGGGCTCTCACAAAGAGAATAGGCTGTAAACAAGCTTGGTAAACTTTTAGAACGTCTTGTGTTTCATCTGTCGGCTCAGAGGTTTGTGCGCTATGTGGTTCATGGCTTCACGTTGAACACAAAATGCACTGATAAAGGAATTCATTTTTATTTTAAGTCATCCGACAGCTGCTTTTGTGGTATTTAATTTTAAAAATCGAGGGCATGACTGCTGCTGTTTTTGTGAAAATATTATTCAGGTTTGACTCCAAAACATTTATTTTATTGTATTTTTTTATTTGGAAGAACTGAATGAAAAATCTGTGGTCTTTATAATCAAAATATTGCATACAAAAAATGCTTACACTTAATTAGACAAGCGCAAGGGTTTTGTTTAAAGTAACATTTTGCTGGTTGGTAAATGTCACTGTTTACTTCATAATTAGCTTTAACTGTTCATATTCTTTCTTACCTTTGATGTCACACTGTTTTTTTTTATTATCTTGAATTTAAAGGAACCACTTTAACATTTATTCTTTTCTCTGTTGCGGTAGTTTTTATAAAAAAAAAAAAAAACCTTAAAATTTGACTTTAGATTACTGCTTTTAGTATTAATAATATTTAGTTATTTTTATTTATTTATAAGTTATTGAAAAGTAAAAAAAAATCTATTGTTCATTGATACATATAAGTCAATCATAACTTATCAAGTGAGGACAGTTTTCTGTCTGAAATAAAATACGTATATCCATTTTTATCTGTATATATTTTACACATTTTTATCAATATATATTTTTAAACCAGGTCAGATTTTCTCTATTCCGTTTTTCTTTTCTTTTTCTCAGCCCCCTCCTTTTAACGCCACTTAGAAGAGACAGTCTGGAATCCAAAGTCATTTTCATTCAGCTCTGTGAATCAGCGTCTCTCTTGGAATGCAACATTTTACTAAGACATAACTACAACAGAACAAAGTCCATCGCGAGAGAACTGCACAGATACAACTAGAAACCATACACTGATAAACCATTTATTCCACACTGTAAGTGGCGCTCTTTGTAGAAACTGAAGCCTTGGAGAGGCGCGTCTGTAGAGGAAAACAAGGATGTTCTTCTAACAATATGTCTCAGACATTAGGGAATTTTGTATCCGGTTTCATTTTCGCCCTTGTCAGAATCTGTTCCCAAACATATTCTAGAGTGATATTAGTAATAAGGAGCCTCGTCAGTTATTTGGTTCATCTGGTTATGAAGGCAGACAACGAAAGAAATCGTAAGACTGTAATTGTTGGACAATTCTTGAAAAGATTTTCGAAAATTTCAGTAATTTAATGATATGAAGATTCTCTGGCATGTGATTCTACTTTTGTTTTCATATTTTATATCTGATTGTGTTTCTATGCGTGATAAAAATGTATGTATAAAAAGACAATTGGCCTGAAACGCAAACCGTATCCAGGCTTACATGTTTTTATCTTCGCTTATTTTTTTTTTATTTTTTTTTTTTTTTGAAACCTAAATTGTTGGCTCTGCGTTTAGGGGTTTATTTATGAGATACGCACTTTGACTTGATTTTTTTTTTTTCCTGTCAGTATAAACGCCACTATACGCGGAAGATTTGAAATCATTCATTGTTTCAACTATCAACATTGAGGAAATTACTTTGTATGAATACAACCACAACATATTACTGCGGGAGCTCTCTAACATTTTACTAGATAGCTATGTTAATTTCAAGGTAACACAATACCATTTGAAGGTGGATTATCTGAAACCTGAAACTTTGATAGAGAATTCCAGTTAGTGTAGTAGTCCTTAAGATCAATTGGCCTATTCAGATCATAATACTATGTCTCAACTGCGCTGTCTGCTCAGCACATGGGACTTTTATAAATAACTCTTGGTATTCCCTTTGAATGCCCATGTGCGTCTTTTTAGCAAAAAGGCTGGTCCAAATATGACACTGACTGATCTCTCAGTGTATTTTTCTATTGGATAGAGGTAGCGTGAAGGGGGGAAGTGTTCGCTTTAAAAATGTCTTTAAAATGCTCTACTGATTTGGCTTTATAATTTTTTTTATCATATATTCACGTAAAACTATCCAGCTATTTCGCAGTTTTTTTTTGTTTTTGTTTTTGTTTTTTGTTTTTACCATTTCTCAGTATCTTTCAGTATTCATACTTCAAGTTAAGAGCAAGCGCGATTCTTCTATAATAAATTATTTTGTTTGATCTCTGCAGATGACAAAGCATGGAACGTTACCAGAAAATGATGTCACTTTGCAAGAGTTTGAGCTTCATCAGGCAGTAACGCCTTTTTCATACTGAATAAAACAATGATTTTTATGTAGTAGCCTATATGATATTAAATGTATCGAGTCTCCTTTTTTAAAAAAAATTGATAGGGTCAAAATAAAGAAAACACTTAAAAACTTAAGAGCATGTTCAACACGGGTTCTAAATATATTGTGTTAAGAAGGATATGGTTATAGCTGCATTTAAATAGATGTTTGTGGACTTTGGAAGCATCTTTACTACTTTTTCACTGTTTGTTTTCAGCTCGCATTTTGATGGCGATATGATATAGCCTTAATGCTATGCTACATTCCTATCACTGATGACGTAGTGAAAAAAGCTCTAGCTCACAAGCTACGGCAGACTTGAAACGTAGCACTATAAAAACACACACAAGAATCCTGCAAACTTCCAGTGAAGAATAGTTTGATGTTTCCAATTGGGTAGGACTTCTAGAACATATTTTCTATGTTAGAAATAAAACTGGTTACAAGCAGGTAGAGCGGCTGCTTTGTCATCTTTGGAACCACATTTTTCCAGTGCTTTGGGAGTTATCAATTAGCTACTAATCTTTATTTTTTTCATGGTGATATATTTTTCTATTATTAAAGTGCCTAGTTATCTTCAATAACATCATCACACATAGTCACATTGCAATTTGCAAGAAATACATACAAAAACACACACAAAACGAGAAAAGCACACAGTTATTTAATGTAGTCATATTTTATTAAAGATAAAAAAAATTGGTAAAATAAGTTATAAATATATAGTGTAAAATATTTTTTTATATGAATAAATGTGTAAACACTTACAGTGCAAATATTTGCGCGTACATACGCACGCGCACACAAGCAGAGCAGACACATTTGAAGCAGACTATCAGACGCTCTTCCATTACAATAGCACTGATCTCTTTTTAGTGCTGTAGACATCAATACAGGATATATAGTGCATTTATGATTGAATGCTGCAGTAATAAATGGCTGCTAAGTGTGATTCACTAACTTTATAATATGAGATGAATAAAGAGACATTCGCTTTCAGTATGTAGAAAACAACTTATTTAAAAAAGCTAATTGGATTGGTATAGATATTTATTCATTGTAGATCTGTTCATTTTTGTAAATTCGGGGTAAAATATTGAAATATCTTCAGTCACACGCGTTTATCAACAGCCACACCATGAGACCATTTGGCGATGTGGTCTAGAGTCTGGCCTTTTACATTTCATGGTTGAATCTGAACTCAGTCATTAGCAGAAACCTGACACTATCACAATGTTTTCTTTGAAAAAACAAACAAAAAAAACCCCTCGCCCCAACCCAAATTGTTCAATTTGCTCAGATTGTTTGAATTTATTTTTAGAACAGATATTTTGGTTGTAAGCAGTTAAAAACCTCAAGTCCCTTTTCTGTTTGTAGCTTGTGTTTAAACAAGTCAGTATCAGCACATTGGTTAAAGGAAAAAGGTTTTTACACAAGTCCTGCACATTTTGAATGGGAAAAAAGGATATAATCTTGGATAAAAACAAACCATTTTATATTATAAACTCAATATTACTAAATGCGTATTTGTACTGCAAGAATCAAACATTTTTTGTATCCACATATTCAAAAAGCAGGTTGTGTTTTATTTGCCCGCTATTTTTCGTTTTTGTAGTGTTATGTTATGTGCTGAGTCGGTGCATCTCTGTTTCTCTTTAATCTGACAAATTACTCTCAAATTGTTTGATTAGGTATGTTGTATAAAAGTAAAGTTTACAAAAGTACAATTTTAAGAAAGCTTCAGTGTTCTTTATCCTCCTTAAATAATCCCCTTTATCTTTTATGTTTGATCCCTTTGCGGTTCTGTTTTTTTTTCTCAGTTTTTTCTTTTTGCATACACACATAGTGGTGTCAACTGTTATTTTTAGCAGGGATCTCGGATGCACTCCTTATTAACGACACGTTTATGAACAATCAAATGGTTCTCGTTAAAATTTATTGATGGGCATAAAACCTTGAACGGTCACTGGCCGAAAATAGTTGGCTTTTTTAGTGGGCTGTGAGTCTGTCAGCTTTCGGAATCCCCTCCTCGGCTGTATCTCCACAAAACCCATTTAGGGAATGTTTGGTCTGCAGGCCCTCGTTAAAAGCCGTGCAAACTGCATCCCGTATTTTGATTCTCCCCGCTTTTCACCGTCCACTTTCCCCTGCTGCAGCTGCTGTGAAGGCATTTCTTTTTATATATCCTTGAAAAACAATAAACAGCATTCTACGAGAAGTTATAAACGATTCACTTTATCAAATGCTGGTTTTGCGAGGATAAAACGAGCCAACGATTCAATAAACGCTTTAATGCAGTATCCACTGAAGTAGCATGGAGCTCTGACAGAGATTAATTACACCATAAAATAGTTCCTTGCTTTAACACGCAATGTGCGCAGGTCTGTGCTGCGACTGAATAAAAACCCAGCGGCTGCACTGCGCATGAATGTTTTCCTCATAAACAGAAAATAAACGTTTTGGTTAATGTTACCTCCATAGGTCCAGGAAAAGGAGTGAAAGATCACTTTGTTTAATCCCATTTATGTGCATTGGTATCCTTGGATAAGTGGCGCATTGATCCACTGTACAATTTTTGTGGGGGTAAATATAATCACGTGTTGGTGGGCCAGCCAATAGGAGCCAGGGAAGCTTTGAGAAATAATTACCTGCCTTGATTGTTCTATGGCTAGATAAAAAAGTACACATACACTCCATATAATAAACGGATGCATGTAAAAGAGTAGAGTGAGGCTTCGACATGTCGACCACGGGTCCCATAAGTAATTATTATGTGGACTCCTTGATCAACCATGAGAGCGAGGATGTTATTGCTGCGACTCGGTTCTCGGCGTCTGGTTCGCACCCAGCTGGCCCCCGTCCGACGTCCCTAGTCCCGGAGTGCGCCGACTATCCTTCCTGTAGTTTTGCACCCAAGCCGGCTGTCTTTTCCACGTCCTGGGCCCCCGGACACTCCCAGTCATCAGTGGTCTACCACCCGTACAGCCATCAGCCCCATTTAGGAACAGAGTCGAGGTATATGCGCTCATGGCTGGAGCCGATCTCAGGCGCCGTCCCTTTCCATGGCTATCCGGGAAACAGCAGGCATTACGGACTTAAGCCCGACGCCTTTCAGGAGCACAGAGCTGGGGAGTGCCTCAGCTCCGGTGGACGGACTTACACGGATTATCTGTACTGCTCATCCACTGACATGCGAGACAAGACGCCGCAGAATGTCCCTTCTCCAGACTCAGAGCTTCTGGCGCCTGGGAAGCATAAGGAGGAAAAGCCGGAGCTAGATCCCAGTAAGTCAATGCTTCTTTTACAGCAGTGAAGGATTGTTGTTTCTGACTAAGGCTGCCGTAAATTGAAATCGTAGGCTGCTTCTCCGTATTCCTTTCAACTTGTATGTGAAACGCCTGTGCTGTAGAGGGGAAAGCTTTAGGAACAGTAAAAGACAAACGCTACCAGGCTAATATCGGGGGGCTATAAAAGCAGAAGGGGTTATAAACATGGACTAAAAGGTGCAGGATGTAGACGTTGAAATTGGGTGGATGCTGCAGGACTTTAGACCTTTTTTATTTCATAGAGAACACCCTGAATCTGACATACGAATCTGTTCATCAGTTAACTGCACATGATTCATCTTTACGAGTATATTTTGACCCTTGTGTCAGTGAAAGGCGGCATGCAAGCCAACTTTAGTACTCTTTTTTTTCTCCATAGGGCCTTAACGTGCAGCAACTCCACTTTCCACCAATATATTTCTTACCGACTATGACTATATTACTTACTTACTGACACAATTGTGTGTTAACAGACACTAATGTACAAGTTGCTTTGCTTTATTTGTTCCAAAGCTAATCCACAGGCAACTTGAGGAATGTAGGGACAAACTATAGGACTTTCACCACGGACTTGTAAAGGCTTGAAACACGGGCCATTTTATGGGCCAATAAAGTGAATACGCACACTATTTTACGACGGTGTTACTCAAAAGTTAAGAGAGCAAATCAGCGCAAAATAGCTCTGTGTTGGGGTTATCTTTTATTATCCACGTTAATTTTGGTTTAAGTTGTTATGTAGGTTGACCATATTTTTCTATATTTTCTGTTTAGGCTGCTTATAATTTGTTATACCATTCTTATTAACATATATATATATTTATTTTTCATTTACAGACAACCCCGTGGCCAATTGGATACATGCCCGCTCCACAAGGAAGAAGCGATGTCCTTACACAAAGTACCAGACTCTTGAACTGGAAAAGGAGTTCTTGTTCAATATGTACCTCACCAGAGACCGCAGATACGAGGTCGCAAGGGTACTGAATCTGACCGAGAGGCAGGTCAAAATCTGGTTTCAGAACCGGCGAATGAAGATGAAGAAAATGAACAAGGACAAGAGCGACAGCAAGGAATCATAAAACGGACTGCAGTGTGAAAATTACTTAATTGACAAATGAATAATAATAATAATTAAAAAAAAAAAAATACACGGACAGCACAGATTTACCAGAACAAAAAGCCTCCCCTACTCCCTTCATCACTTTCTTGAATTTATTCTTTTGTGGTACCATTAACCTCAAACTGTTTATTGCTGATTATTATTTAGTGCACAATTAAAACTTATAATAAAAAAAGGAAAATAAAACTAGAGAGTGATTTTTTTGATGGGAAAACATTCTGCTTTCACGTTTATATTTCTTTGTAAGAAAATATAAATAAGCAACTTTTGGATGCGACGAAAACTGACAGAAGAAAGACAATACTTGAATTCTTTTAAATTTCACACGAAAAAACTATAATTTATGATGTTATTGTATTTTCCTCTTTGTTTTTGTTTTCATTTTGTAAACAATAGCGCAGGTGAAGAGTATTTTGTACAGATTCAGAAGCATCTGCGAGCGCCTATCTGTGTTGTATTTTGTGATAGCTGTTGCTGTATGTGAATCCATTTTGTCTTTCTTTCTTTTAATAGTTTTACCGTGTATCTGGCGAGTTTTAATTATAGAGTGTAGCTATACAGTTCTCTGTAAATATAATCATAACCACTTAAGCGCTTGTTTCTGTCTTCATTGGTATGAGATTCCAGCGAAAAGTTGCTAGACGGGACTATTATAATGCAAGTCATAATGAAGAAACCTGTTTTCTTTATTTAAAAGCAGCAAGGATGTTTGAACCATAAACGTTTTACGATGAAAGCAAATGCCATAATTAGGCCTTTGCTTAATTTGTGGTTAAAAATAAAGGTAAACCATACTTATTATTTTTTCTCTTTTAATAATAGTCTCACGCACTCCCTTTAAGCCAACACGGGTCTCATTTTTATGGTTTATCATTTCAAAATATGAAACTCAAAATGATTTGTTTGAAAATACACATTACAGCTGCAATAGTGCACAATTTCAATGACTTTTAAATAATAGGAAGACAAATTTGCAATGTTAAATTCGATTATCTTTATCCTATCACTATCATTCTTTTATTTCTTAATCTTGCGTTTGATCACAAACACACTCTCTCTCTTTCTTACGCACACGTCAACACAGGCACACACTGCAGTGAGGTTTAAAACTGTATGTATGTCCGCCAAGGCTTCAAAGCCTACAGAAATAAGAGGGGGGAAAAATCTGCTGACAGAATTTGAACGGCCAAACATTTAAGTGAGAGACAATTTCCCTTGTCTCACATTTGTTTCCTGGGATAGGCCTAAATTGCTTTTTTGTGGTGGCAAACAATGTGGACAGGATGCTGTAATTTCAAAGCCCGATCCAAGCGCATTTCCGCTCAGCTCAACTCGGACAAAAATGCCAGTTTTACAGCCCCTCTTGGTGCAGGGACTGTTTGTCTCAAATGCAGACGAACAAAGCAAACTCGACTTGCTGGCTAGACGTCTGGGCTAAATTACTTTATGGTTTTAATGGACGGTGGTGCTGCAGGACTCGTTCAAAGCACTGCTTGTGGGGGGACCTTTTCCTTTCCACTGATAGCCAGCCACCCCTGCACTTCATCACAAGAGTGGTCGATTAGTCTACAATTGGATGGGCAAAAATCAATAATTATTATGCCAAATATTAGACCTTTACTGCAGATATATCCGTGAAATGTGTAGTCACTAACACAAAACAGAGCAGTTGGTTAAAAATGTCAGACAAAAAACAACACAGGCAGCAGTTTCTTGTTAATATATTTGGTCTTCTAATTTATTAAAGTGAAAGACAGACATCCACCAATGTTTAAGATGGAAAAATGGGGACGCCGTTCACATCCGCATCACGGATGTTTCTGATTGGTCGAACCGTTTAGTTTAAGTGATGTAGCCGAACACTAGATGACGCTGTTGGTCAACGTTTACCAGGATCTCTGTGTTAAAAGGAGGGGTTGTTTTACACGTCTGTGGCTTGGCTAAAGAGTGAAAAGTAACCCCACCGATGACAATGTGACGGATATGTCCAGGCACCACATTTGCTGTAATAGGCCACAGAGCCGGGCTTTCCATGGGGCATCAAAATATACCCCTAAACAAGGGACTTTTTTAAATAAAAAAAAAATG